TCCGTCGCGGAGGCGCAGCTCTCAGGAGGCAGGCGCTGTGGGGAGGAGGCTGGCGGGGCGCGCTGGGATATTGCAGCATCTCTCCCTCCAGGTGCCCTAGCCCCCCCTCAGTGAAGGAATCCGCGCGGATGCTGAACACTGGGTTAAGTTATCACCCAGAGATGGTGTGAGGGACTCAGGCTGCTCAACCTGCTGCTGCTGCTGCTGGTAAATGCTCTTCACTTCTTATTTGGCTACATGCTTAAGGCTTTTTGCTCTTGCTTTTCATTCTGCAACACAGCGCCTAATCTGCAGCACTGTCTCGCGCTCTCTCTCCCTTTCTTGTGTCTCTTCTTTAATTGTGTTAGCACAGTTGACAACTTCTGGTATGTCTCATAACCAGACTGCGAGCGGTTTGTCTCCTGGAACCTTTTAATTCAGCACTTGGAGAGGTCATTAGTTGCACGAGTTCCAGGGAGCCGGGAGAGATCGTCGCTTATTTCCCTGCTGCTTTCCTGCCCATTAATTTTCATCTCCGCTTGTTGAGATATTTTCCCCAAGTGTTTAAATGTTGTCTTTGTGATTTTAGGTTTGTTTGGTGCCCCCCTCCCACCGATTCAAGCGCAATTTTCTTTCAGTTGTTACCAACAGAGCAGAAAGGTATCGCTGGTTTAGAAACTATCATGAGCACAGGGCATGTTGGTTAGAAATCGGGAAAGGAGGCATTTGTATTCCAAAAGGGAATTTAAAAAAAAAAAAAGCTGTTTTGCATCATTGCTGCAGATTTGCAGGAGGCAATAAAGGACATCGCTACTCATGTTGCTTGTAAAGATGATAAACACAGAAGTGCTTTAGTGCATCATCAACAGTCCAGTGCTTGAGCTGTTGCTCAATTGTACTTAATAATAAATTCAGGGCTGTGGAGGGAGAGAGATTGGTGGCATTGTATTCCCCACATTGCTGAGACAATGTACATTTGCTAACGCCACACCAAAGACCTGGTTAGACCTTACATGGAGTGACAGTTTGAAGAGATTTTTTTTGTTTCTGTTTCTTGTATACTCACAATGAAATTTAAATTAGCCAGCCCAATGAATGCAAACGGAACTCTTTTAACTCTTTTTTTACTTCACGGTAATACTTCTTTTTAAATTCTTGATGGCAGGATTTTTAAAAAATATATTAGAAGACACATTTTTACATACTATTTGTTTTAGGTAAATTCATACTACTTAAATAACAGTAAGATTCAAATTAGTTTTAGCATTTTATTCATATTTTCCTCCACCCCCACTCGCTACAGGTCATGGGGGTGGAGAGAAGGGACACAGATAAATAAAAATCATGGTGGGTCAATATGTAATGACAAGACAGCAGTATCACAAGAAAACTTCTATTTATAATTCTAAAATTGTTGCAAACCCAATTATATGTAGAATGTAGCTGATATAATGGTTCCTAAGAATACATTATCAGATTTTAGAGATACTCTGTTAAAGTAGGCTACATTTGCAGTACTTAGATATTTGTCATCTTAAGGTGTTCAAACTAAATATCTAAAAAAAATCAGATACTTAATATTGGAGTAAAAGTCTAGAAGTAAAATCATTGCAGCCCTTATTTGGCATTGTTTCTGCTGCCTAAGATACAAGTTGTCAGACAGTATGTATAGTAGAAGACCAACTTATATAATGCTGGAGGAAACTTTTTTAAAACTCCATAGATTTGAAAGGTGTAATGTAAATGTGGAAGTTACTGAATAATCAGCAAAATGGAAATTAAATCACTAGTTAATACTGTTCTTTTTTTTAAAAAAAGAAAACATAGTTCCAAATCACTATGCAAATTTACCAGTTAATTTTGGTATGTGATTTTAAATCTTTTCTTTAAATTCTAGACAGAATTCACAGAGAGAGACATTAATCTCTCTTTAGTGTTTGATATAAAGTGGTTCATTGCATGTCATCTCAACTCTTGCATAGAAAGAATGCAAAAGTCATTACAATACTCATAAGCCAGACATATTGCAAATTTTAAATATTTCCATGAACTCCTTACATTTATTAATTTAATAAAATAAAGATGTAAGTCCTTCCATTCATAAAAATCAGAGGTGTCTTCCAGCGAAGCTTTTCCCTGGCTAGGTGGCAAGGAAAGAAGAGTTCTCCTAGAAGATGCTGGTTCTAAAAAAAGCTTTGCTTCCAATACTGCTTCTTTGGTACTGTTTCCATTATAAAATAATAATAGTTTAAAAAACCCAACACACACAGTATTTTTCAGGCTGTGAATCTGCATCATTTAAATAATTAAATTAATTCCTTGTGCCTGGGCACAAGTGCAAATGACTGACCAGGTCAAAGACTAATCTAGACAGAATTCTTGCCTCCATGTGGTGAGAGGAATAAAATCAGAGTATAAATATATTTATATTTTTCTGCATTGGACTGAGTTTGGGAATCTAAAATTAAATTGTGAAATCTAATCTTTAATTGATTTAGAAATATAATCTTTTATTGCCGAGGTTCTTAGTTTCCTGGAAACTTCTAAAAGCCCAGTGTATTATTTTGTTAAAATATTAAACACACTTATTCAGCATAAAAAAAGGATTCGTCCAGGTAACTTATCTGTGTTTGTATTCTGTTTATTTTAAAATGACTTATATTGGTGCAATGATTAGTTATAAAGTAATTTTAGCCTCTTTTAAACTCTGAATGCTTATTTCTGACTTGGGTAATGAAAATTACTACGATTGCCTTTTTCTTTCATTTATACCCACACTATGCAGTTTGGTGCAATTTCACATGTGAGCATCACATGGAGGATGTTCTCTCTTAATCAGCTTGACCTATATTTTGTATTTGAGTATCTCCTGCTAAAAGTCAGAAAGTTACATGGGGAAACAGAAAAGAGGTCCTAGCAATTGTTAGGTCACCAACGAGAAAAACTGATATTCTAGGAGTATTGATTTGAGGGGACTGACAATCACATTTATCTGGCTTGTTAGGATTCACTTTTTTATTTGGAACAAAGTGGAGATTCTATGGGTACTTGATATGTTATAGTAATGGATGTGAGATTCTTTTGTCAAATATTATCATTTTGACTTCTGAAAACCAAGAAAAAATGTATGCACAGTATAAATATGTTGTATAACAATATTTTTGTGCTTAAAATTATTCAGAGTAATACAAAAGAAGAGTGTTGATTTAGTTCATTCAGGGTCAAATATCTAGACATTTTGATCTGAGAGGTCAAATTAAAATGAAGGTCAGATTAAATGGAGACAAAGCTGAAGTGGCTGTTAGACCACTCAAGTCAATTGATCTTGGAAAACCAATACCCATATTTATACATTGTTTGTTTGAAATGGCTTATTAAGAGCTTAATCCTATGACCCTTACTCCTGTGAACAAAATTTACTTACTACAGTAGTATAAGTGAAGAACATATTTAATCATTTGAGTAAAGGTTTTAAGTTCAGTCCCTTAAATTGTAATTTCTACTGCATGCAGTTTGCTTTTGAAAATCTTTCCAGTGGACAGGAAAGGACATGTTCTGCTGCCAGGGTCCATTAGAAAAGAACTTCGTCTCAAAGTATAACTAAAGTTCATATCTGTTTTAAATGTTTGATACGGGATATTTCAATTCTGACTTGTAGGAAAAAATATTTCATGGGTGAGTGTTTTACAGATTTTTAGTTAGAGTATATCCCATTTACAATTAAAAAGGCCTTAACTGTTTAGAAATGCAATTTTATATAATGCCTGTGCCAGTACTAAGAAATAAACCATTCTCATTTAGAACAAATATACACAGAGTTGAGCCGTCTCTTTTGACCTTTTGTTCATATCACTGAAGTTTTTATACCAATTATTATTGATTCATCATCACTCTTCTTTCTGAAAGTGCAATGCAATTCATGCACAGTAGACTTGGACATACTGTACAGTATATAGGAAACAAGGTACAAAATGACTTTGTATCAAATAATCAAACTGCTTCAACCATATCAAATAATATCTTTGTGCACCAGTGGCCTCTGTAGACTTAAAGAGCTCTGTGTTTCTATTCTTATTCAAAATTATAGCTTTTATTTAGTTGGATTGTCAAAGCAACATGCTCTAAAATGAAATGATTTTTGCAATACTTTGTCACTTAATCCACATGAGGATTTTTGTCTCACATTATTGGTCTGTAGTGAGAACCTATAATGTTGTTGAGGTTCAAATAGGTTCTTGTAAATTCACCTTGCTGACTGAGTCACTACCAAATAGATTTTTTGGATAAACGCCTTGTCCTTTAAGCGCATGATTGTGAAATATAAATAAATATTTTGTATCAGTGGTTCTCAACCCAGGCGTATGTGTACCTGTGGGGGTACACAGAAGTCTTTCAGGGCTATATCTACTCATCCCGATATTTGCCTAGGTTTACAACAGACTACATAAAAAGCACTAGCAACGTCATTATAAACTAAAATGTTGTACACAATGATTTATACTGTTCTGCATACTATACACTGAAATGTAAGTGTACTTATATTCCAATTGATTTATTTTATAATTATATGGTAAACATAAGGAAGTAAGCAATTTTTCAGTAGTAGTGTGCTGTGACACTTGAATTTTTATGTCTGATTTTGTAAGTTTTTAAGTAAAACTTGGGTATGCAAGACATAATTGAGTCTTAAATCAGAGTCTTGAAAGGGGTAAAGTAGTCTGGAAAGGTTGATAGGTGCTGCTTTATATAGATTCTCTCTCATAGAATTCATTAGCAGTTCATGCCACAAAGTAAGAAGTTGATTACTTCATTGAATTGAATTGTTCATTGAAGAGCATTAATAATCTAGTAGCTATCCCAAACAGGGATACAATTGTGAGATTATTTTAGCAACAAGCAGCACAGTATACAATTATGAATTTATCCTTAGGTGGGCAAACTGGGAGTGGGCAAAAGGTAATATCTAGTTATATACTGTCTAACCATAACAGTTATGTAAAAGAACAGTATGACTGCTCAAAGTGCCAATAAAAAGTGGGATAAAAGCTTATTGAGAGTCTTTGGGTTAAGTTTAGAGGCTGGAGCAACAGGGATAATGTTGTGATTGGTGTTTACTGTAGACCACCAGAATAAGTGGATGTGCTGGATGAGGCTTCTTCACACAACTAACATAAACTTCCAGATCACAGGCCATGGTTCTTATGGGGGACTTTAATCTCCATGACATC